ACAGTTATCCTATAGCAAAAACCCCTCCAAAAAAAAAAAAAAAGAAAGAAAGAAAGAAAAGAAAAATCTACCTCTTATCCTAGTTTCTATTACTTTATAATAGTCATTGTTAACTAGCTTAATAATATATATTTAATTATATAATTAATTATATTTCATTCTATCATCCATCTATGTATAATATGAGGGCAGGGGCTTTGTTTTTTTCCGCTATCCTAGAAGAACATTAGAACAGGGCCTAACATATCATAATGCACTCTTATGTTTGCCAAAATGAAAATATTATGTACACCAATTTAAATGGGGATACAAAAGGAAAAGCACCATTTCTATAAAAACTGTTTAAAATGTTTTAGAAAGAACAATAAGGGCAAGTCAAGGAAACAAATTGCATCAAAATACGTGAGGCTGGAGCAAATAAAAAAATTAGGAGAGAAACAAATGTTTAAACATAGAAGGATTCTGCATTGAGTGCCTCGCAGGAATCTTTAAATCACATTCCATTGGGTGTCGGAAAAGTCACGATATATTTTTTTGTTTTTCTATGCAAAATGTGTCATGACTTTTCTGGGAACCCAATAATTAGAACTAGAAATTCTAGAAGAAAGACGACTTTAATTTAAAATAAATGTTTAAGTGGGGCCAGCAGGCAGTGTGGTGAGTAAGGCACTAGACTCGCAAATGGCCGATCACTGTTTGAGTCCCAGAAACAATGGCTTGAAAAATCACTCTGGGAACTTGTGCCTATGTGCCCCAAAATTCTAAGAGGAGAATGGAAGAAAAAGGATCACAACATGGCCATCCCCCCAGGGGGTGATTTCTCACTTTCCCTCTCTCTTTCTGTCTCTGATGAGCATACAACAAACTGTGGCAAAAACCTTTAAAAATAAGTGTTTACCTAATGACACTCAAGTACTGAGGGGAAAAAAAGGTACCAACTGCAGTTTATGTTGAAGTGTATCCAAAAATTAAGATGAAATTGAGAGGGCAGACAGATATACTTTAAAGTAAGAGCAGTAAAGTATTAATGGTACTCGTGGATACAAGTGCTCACTATGAAACTTTCTACCTTGCCGTTGGAATATTTTCATAATACCATGTTGGGGTCTACTTCCTCACGTGGACTAACTCTTTTGAAGAATGATTGAAATGCCAGCTCCAAGTTGATCCAAAAAGAAAGTTTCTTTTTGAAAGGTGGTAAGCCCTCCCCCGTGGCACAACTGTAGGACCTAGTGAGGTCACGTATGTAAAGTGAGGCGGGCCCGCCACGAGGCAAGGCTCGCTGATTGGTGCTGATGAATACCACCAGGACTCTGCAAAACGCCTGCTTAGTGACCGGCTAGCCTATCTATAGCTGTATTACTGACAGCATCCCTTAAATTAGGCTGAATGCAAGCAGGCTAGGGGACCAGGAATGAGGAAGGATTCGCCGCCAGAGGCAAATCCCCTTCACTGGAGCTGAGACTCACCTGGGCCATCTCGTCATGCTGCATGCCTAGCACATCTTTCATCAGGTGGTAAGCCTCGCAGATCAGCTGCATGTCTCCGTACTCGATGCCGTTGTGCACCATCTTGACGTAGTGCCCTGCTCCCTCCTCTCCAACCTGTCAGGGCCAAACGCACCCAGAGCCTTCAGAGAGGCAAGTACCACATACGCCGGAAAGGTCAACATCAGATTTGACCACAGCTTGGCAAGGCTCCCTCTCCGTACAAAAAAGAACAAATATAAAGCAAATCAATGTTTTATTTTTAAGGCTATAGGGCACATGTGCTTTCCAGAGACAAAGACAGAGAGAGAAGGTGAGAAAGCACCCCCCAGTGGAGATGACCACACCACAATCCCTTCTCCTCCATTCTCCTCTCAGGATTTTGGGCATGCACACACACTGGCTTGTTTTACAAGCCACCAGGTCTAGGACTCAAACTGCAAAGTCCACCATGTGCGATTCAGCCACCTTAACCTCTTTGCCATCTCCTGGTACCACAAATTAGTAATTTTAAAACAAGAATCATATAGCAATTTTCTGAAATACCCAAATGAACCAGAAGTACCTACAGTTCTTTAGCCTCCATTTGCCACTTTTTCTTACCACTATTAAAAGTAGTGGGACCAGCAGATGGCATAATGGCTATGTCACTAGACTCCTGTGTTGTCAACCATGGTTCAAGTCCTGGACCCAGTGGCTTAAACTCATGCCAGGCGCATGTGCATGCATGCCCAGGATCCCGAGAGAATGGAGAAGGGATTGCAGCGTGGCCACCCGCCTTGGGGGGTGATTTCTCACTTTCTGTCTCTCTGCCTTCGTCTGACTTTCTGGTGAGCGCACACGCCCTATAGCAAAAACCTCTCAAAACAAACAAACAAAAAGCTGTAGGTGGGAGAATGCCTACAGCTTCCTCTGTTCAGGTACAGAATACCTAAGTCCCAAGCTATGGAAAGGAATTTTTCCACATTCTTGGCCAGGACATCTGACAAAGCAACAGCCTCTTCAATCCCCTTCTTTTCACCCAAGCAAGCAAACCCCACTTTTTCCTCCCAAGTTTTTGCTATAGAGAACGTACACTTGCCATAGAGATACAGAAAGTGAGAGAGAGAGAAATCACCCCTCCAGTGGGGATGGCCATGCCATAGTCCCTTCTCTATCTTCCTCCCAGAATTTTGGACATGCATGCGCACGTGCCCAGTGTATTTTCCAAGCTGTCAGATCCGGGATTTGTGCCATGCACTCAACCATGCGGGACCCAGACACCTTAACCTCCACACCACCTGGCTGGCCCACAAGCCCCACTTTTGATGTTGACATGTTCTTTGATCATCAAGCAACACGACAATAGTCGTACTTCACCTTGTCTTTCCTGCTCCTTTTTAAGGGATCTTTCAGATAAATCGGGGGAGGCTGCTTTTAATATTAACTTTAAAGCTATAAATAATCAGCTAAAAAACATGCGGGGCCAGCAAGTGATGTGATGGTTATGAAACTGAACTCCCACAGGGCAGACCGTGGTTCAAGCCCTGGACCCAGCGGCTTCAAAAATCACACCAGGCGCCTAAGAGCACATGTCCAAAATACTAAGAGAGAAATAGAGGAGAAGGGACTTTGGTGTAGCCATCCCCCCAACCCCCCGGTCCTCCGGGGTGATTTCTCACTTTCCCTCTCTCTGTCTCCTTCTAGTAAATGCATGTACTCTGTGGCAAAACCTTTAAAAAAAAAAAAAATCAAGAAACAGGGGCATGAGGCCAGCCAATTGGCATGGTAGTTAAGGTCGCTAGGCCTCACATGGCTGAATGAGTGGTTTGGTGGCTTGAGAAATATGCTGGGCACATGTGCATATGTGCCCAAAATCGTAAGAAGAGAATGGAAGAGAAGGGGTTGCAGTGTGGCCAGCCCCCTGGGGGGTAATTTCTCACTTCTCTCTGGAAAGCACACTCTTCCTACAGCAAATTTTTTTACATAATTATTTTATTTAACTTTATTTATTTATTTAAATTTGAACAGAGATGGACAGAGAGAGAGTAAGAGAGAAAGTGGGAAAGCAAGTCCCCAATTCTGGACTCGAACCACCATCAGCCATGAGGGAGTCCAGTGCCCTTAACCACCCCACCACCTGCCAGCCCCCAGCAAATTTTTTTTAAAGTTAAAAAAAAAAAGAAAGAAACAAGGACATGTACAATAGACATGAATTTTAGGCATCAACTATGCTAGTGACTTAAAGATTAAGAAACTTGGGATCAGTAGTTGGCGTAATGGCTGTTGCTGGACTCCCATGTAGTCGACCACATAGTTCAAGTCCTGGACCCGGTGGCTTAAACTCATGCCGGGCGCCTGTGCGTGTGTGCCCAAGATCCTAAGAGGAGAATGGAGGAGGAGGGATTTCCGCATTGCCCCCTGGGGGTTGATTTCTTGCTTTCTGTCTCTCTGTGTCTTTCAGGTGAGCACACACGCCCTATAGCAAAAACCTCCTTTAAAAAAAAAAAAAAAAAAAACGTAATGTCACAAAGATAACCACTGGGACCAAGGTGGCCTTTGCTCTATGCACTCGTACATGCACGTGGCTGTGTTGCCAGCTAGCTTTTTTTTAGATTTTTGCTATAGGGTATATGCTGTGTGCTATTGCCAGAGAGACAGAGAAAGAGGGAAAGTGCGAAATCACCCCTCTGGGGGGATGACCATGCCACAATCCCTTCTCCATTTTCCTCTCAGGATTTTGGGCATGCATGCATATGTGCTTGGCATGATTTTTCAAGCCACCAGGTTCAGGATTCAAACTGAGGGTGGTCCTATGAGAATCCAGCACTTTAAGCACCATGCCACCTGCTGGTCTGCCAGCTTTAAAGAGTATCCTGCAGCTAAGCCTGGTGGTGCAGTAGGTGGCAAACTGAACTGCAGTGTGGAAAGCCAGATGTCGACCACAGTTCAGATCCCTGAGTTGACCTGAAAACACTCTGGGTACATGTGCCTGCACCCAAGGTCTTAAAGAACTAGAGGTCTGGGGAAAAGGGACTATGGGCACAAACAAACCGTGTCGAGGGTACCTCTCTCTCTCTCTCTCATGTACATGCTGTGAGAATTTCAAAAATAATTTTAAAAGAGTAGCCCAGAACTTGCCCAGTCACAGCAGGGTTCTCCAGTTCCTACTTTTGCAGCAATGCCTTGGAAGATTGTCTTGATGTGGGGCCTGTGGAAAACAACAGTGCAGATCAGCTATTGAGGAGAGATGGGCTGAGAGCTCAAGAAAATACTCAAGCACTCCGATCCCCAACTGTTTCCCCGTCCTACTGGGAGGTAAAAGTGCCCATAAATAAGTAACAAATATCCAAAGTTCACAGGTAAACACCAGCCTTGTGCTTACTGCATGTTGGCCTGCGCCTCCAGGTCCTGGCGGGCACTCAAGTCACAAGCTGCAGACTATCTGATCTAGGACGGCGGACAAAAAGACTAGGCAGAAGCACCAGAAGAAACTTCTATCACAGTATCAGAAGAAAACAAGGGCCAGCTCAGTGGCCTAGTGGTTAAGGGAGCCAGATTCCACATGGCTGACTACGGTTCAAATCCTGGCCCCAGCAGCTTGAAATACATGCCAGCTGTGTACGTTCAAAATCCTGATAGGTTGGAGAGATAGAGAGGGATTGCAGCGTCACCACATCCCAATGGGGGAGTGCTCTCCACCTTCTGTCTCCCTCTGGTGAATGCATACACCCTCTGGCAATTAAAAAATATAAAACAAGCAGCTGCAAACAATACACAAGTTCTCCTAGAGACCCGCTTTCCTTAGTCTGGGTGTATGTTACCGGGTCTAGCATGATTCTAGACGTCTGGATCAAGACAGACAGAACCGTGCAATGTTGCAAGAGACACATTATCATTCAGGGAACAAGCAGCTCTTTATTCCTTCCACAGCCCCACTATGAAGATACATTAACTGCTGAGGCCTTTCACTTCTATCCTGCTCACCACTGACCAACACAGGCTTCTTCACAGAGAGGTTTTGGTACAGACGCAAGACTGACAAGGCTACAAAGGTAATGCTTAGGATTGCGGGGAAGACAGCTACGCCTTAAGCTTTAGAACTCCACTCAATGTTTAACTTGTCTTTCAGATAGAAGTGTCATTTCCCCTGCTGCCAGACCAGTATGAGAAAGGTGAAGAGATGGGCACTTCGTGCTCCTGTTTCCATGTGTACTGCCTGCATTTCCGACAGCCTCCTGTACACGTGCCCAAGATCAATATTTATAAACCCCGAGAGGCAGGAAGGCCTTTCCGCTTCCACATTTTAATACACGGAAGAGAGTTCCCCAGGCTTACCCATCAGAGAGGGCATTCAGAGATCATTTCAAAAATATAGATCCTTTACCACTCAGAATCAGGTTTGACCACTCCTATATTTTATTGGCTAATATAATTTTATTTACTTATTTTATTTATTTACTTTTGTTTATTATTATTATTATTTTTAAATTTGCTCTAGAGCATGTGTACTCATCAGAGAGACACAAAGAGAAAGAGAAAAAGTAGGAAAGCAAGTCGCCAGGTCTGGGACTCAAGCCATGGTTGACCATGTGGAAGTCCAGAGCCTTACCCACCATGCCACCTGCTGGCTCCGCTAATATAAGTTTAGACCACATGGAAATCAAACTCATTCAGAAAACAAACAGCCTTTCCATGTCTCCCTCCGAAGGGTCATTTCTTAGCCATTTTCTCTTCTGCTCCATCAACTTTATCTTCCTCTATCAGGTTTTCTCTTTCCCGGCAGGCTCTGCAGCAGCATTTCCGCTCAAGTTTAAGTTATGTTTGTCACTTCCATCTATCCATTCTGATTCCCCATCCCTCTTGCCCCACACCCATTTATGTCTCATACATCCCTTATCTCCTGTCACCAAATCACTCCCCTTCTGAGGTCAACCCTTTGACTTATACAGAGCACAGTGAACAATGTAAAGTTTGTTTATTCCCAAGTTAAATAAAAATTTCCACCTCATTTCCAGACCCCTGAAGATTTTTCTATTACTCACAATTTAAGGTATCTTTGGACCATACATCAGCTGAAAGAGGCAGACCTTACTCCTAAGCATAGACAACACACAAGACATCATCTGAACAATTTTCTTCCTCTAGGTTTCTGCTACACGGCATGTGTGCTCACTGGAGACACAGAAGGGTGGAAAATGAGAAATCACCTCCAGAGGGATGGCCATGCCATAGTCCCTTCTCCTCCAGTTTCCTCTCAGGACTTTGGGCAGGCACACACAGAAGCCCAGTGTGATTTTTAAGCTGCCCAAGTCCAGGACTCAAACCATGGTCAGCCATGTGGGAATTCAGAGCCTTAACCAACATGCCACCTCTTGGCCCCTGAATTGCTTTCTTAAAGCCTATTTAGAACTCCTAGTAAAAGTCTTGAAATAACTGAAGAAAGAAGGCGAAGGAGTATACACATAAATTAAGCAAGCAATAAAATGTCTAAACAAGAGCCACATCTGCAGCATCTCCCAGCTCTAGCACTCAGGGCCCCACGGCAGAGATCAGGGCAGCAGAACCACCGGTGGCTCGCTCATTCTTCAAGGCCGGGCTCCTCTGTGCCGAATGAGGTGGTGCCAATGGTACTCACCAAGCTTCTTTGTTCCCTCCAGGCATGAGTGATGGCCCATATCGGGCCCCGTCCTCTCCACCACTAACTCCGCTCCCCACAAACAGGATCCCCTTGGCCTTGAGGTCTCGACATCGTCTCTAAAGAAAGGAAAAATATTTCATTATGCTTCCAAAAAATGTTTCTCCAGGGGCCAACAGGTAGTGTGGAGGTTAGGGGGCTAGATCCCACACAGCCAACTCTGCACTTTGAATCCCAGCCCCTGAGGCTTGAGAATCATGCCAGGCACATGTACATGTGTGCCCAAAATCCTGAGAGGAGAATGGAGAAGGTATTATGGGATGGCCATCCCCCTTAGGGTGTGATTTCTCATTTTCACTCTGCCGAGCACACATGCCCTATAGCAAAAATTTTTTTAAAAAGTTTCTTCCAATGAATGAGAGGAGGTATAAGACAGGTATGGAGATTCTTCATTAGATAAGAAATGACCCAAGGATCTAGGAATAGCTGCTCATTCAAGGAAAGTAATCCCTTCAGCATGGAAGTTAAAAAGAAGGCTTTCCCTGGGGCCAGCAGATGACATAACAGTTACGTCGCTGGATTCCCACATAGTTGACCGGGGTTCGAGTCTTGGACCTGGTGGCTTAAAATTCACACTGGGTTCATGTACATGCATGCCTAAAATCCCAAAAGGAGAATGGAGGAGAAGGGGTTGCAGTGTGGCCATCCCCTCTGGAGGATGATTTCTTGCTTTCTGTTTTTCTCTGTCTCTCCAGCAAGTGCTCACACCCTATAGCAAAAAAATCTCCTCCCTCCAAAAAAAATGTCTTTCCCCAGCACTTGAGACCATTAGAGCAATGATTCTGAACCATATTAAATTGGTACATTGCAGGTTAGTTGGGAGAAGAAAATGAGTCTTGGACCTGGTGGCTTAAAATTCACACTGGGTTCATGTACATGCATGCCTAAAATCCCAAAAGGAGAATGGAGGAGAAGGGGTTGCAGTGTGGCCATCCCCTCTGGAGGATGATTTCTTGCTTTCTGTTTTTCTCTGTCTCTCCAGCAAGTGCTCACACCCTATAGCAAAAAAATCTCCTCCCTCCAAAAAAAATGTCTTTCCCCAGCACTTGAGACCATTAGAGCAATGATTCTGAACCATATTAAATTGGTACATTGCAGGTTAGTTGGGAGAAGAAAATGAGTTAAGCACAAACTCTTGGTCTGCAATATCTAGCAGATATTGAGTTGTATATATGACTAAGAGTGCCATCTATCAAGTGTGTCTTAGCAGGAAAAAAGACAGACCTGCTCCATGGGTACCAACGCCCAAAGAGTCAGCACCAGGGATGGACAGTTCACCCCTGCCACATGTGCAGTGCTGATACATGTTTCTAGAAGGTTCTCAGAAACTAAAAGAATTCAGACTGAAGAATACTTACTGTGGAGTCCCTATATTCAGAATTTCCTCCATCAATGATGATGTCACCAGTGTCCAACAATGGGACCTGTAACCAGACACCAGCATTAAGGTAAATCGAAGACAAAAATAAAACACCTTGGCCAATAAAACAAGTAAGAACATAATCCAAAGAAGTGCAGTTTAAAAATCTTAAAAGTCTTATCTTCAATAATCCTCTTGATGGCTAGAGCTTGGCCCTATTTACAAGCTTAGGGCTACCAAGTCCTACACAACAGAGATCATTCTCTTTACCTACCCCACAATTTTACAACAAATAAAACACATCTGGAAAAAATATATTTTGATGTATATACCACCTGCCTGTTTTATATCTCCAAATACTAGGGCTAAGACTAACTCCAAAAGACTGAAACACTTCCATAAAATCTCCGTGTTTAGAACAGAGCATGGGTCTAGCAGGGACATCTCTGACGGTTCAGTGTATAAATGAATGACTTGATTGCCAGGCTGGAGACAGCAGGAAGAGACTGAGCATCTTCCCACAGCACACCAACCCTGCTGTTTATTATTTGTTACTCATCGCTCTCCCTACAAGGCTCCCGCTAATGTTACTTAGTATTTTCCTATGTTAACAAAAAAATCTACCATGGGGCCAGCAGGTGGTGGAGTGGTTAAGGCACTGGACTTCCATATAGCTGACCACGGTTTGAGTCCCAGACCAATGGCTTACAACTCATGCCAGGCCCGTGTGTGGCCAAGATCCTGAGAGAATGGAGAAGGATTGTGGCATGGCTATCCCCCTTGGGGAATGATTTCTTGCTTTATGTCTCTCTCTGTCTCTCTGGTGAACACACACACCCTACAGCAAAAATCTCTCTGGCAAGCTGATCACGGGCGGCTTGGCATCTTGCTACATGAAGAGCTCAGGATGTCCTTTCTTTATCACGGTGTCATTCCTTTCTAGGTCATTTGTTTAAAAAATGGCAGCACACTAGATACAGACAATGTCTCCCTGAGAAAGCAACCCCATTGTTAACACTTCTCTAGACAGGCAGTGTCTACCCCTCCCCTTCACTGACTGTCACTGCATTTCTCACGGCAAATACTTCTTCCAAGTAGGTGATGCCTTGTTTGTTTCAGAGCTGTTACTGGAGGATAGTTTTTGAGTTTCTAATTAAGTTACTTCTATTGGTTCTCCTTCACTCATATGCATATTTTTTCTTACAAAAAAGATACTCTTGCCAAAGACAACAAATTCTTTGGTACAAAAATAAGTTAGGACACCCTAAGGGGATCGCTTGTCATTTGTATTAAATTATACAACTATGAAAATTGTTGCTTTATAGGAATATTGAAAAAAAAAAAGAAATCTACTTCTAAATTTGAACTTTAAGATTTATTAGTAAATAGCATTAAACATCCATAAATTTTACATAATCAAAAGTGTAAGTTTTTTTTTTTAAGAATTATTTTATTTGTGGGATCAGCAGTTAGCATAACGGCTATGTCACTGGACTCCCATGTAGTCGACCACGGTTCGACCCAGACCCGGTGGCTTGAACTCATGCCGGGTACATGTGCATTCATGCCCAAGATCCCAAGAAGAGAAAGGAGGAGAAGGGATTGAGGCATGGCCATCCCCCTGGGGGGTGACTTCTTGCTTTCTGTCTCTCTGTCTCTCTCTCTTTGTGGTGAGCGCACGTGCCCTATATCAAAAACCTCTTCAAAAAAAAAAAAAAAAACAGAATTATTTTATTTAACTTTATTTATTTATTTATTTATTTTTCATTATGGCCAAAGAGGGACAGAGTGAGAGAGAGGGAAAGTGAGAAAGCAAGCTGCCAGGACTAGGACTCAAACCACAGTCGGCCATGTGGGAATCCAGAACCCTTAACCACCATGCCACCTGCTGGCCCCCAAAATGTAAGATCTTGGGCCAGTGCCACAGCCCAGTGGTTAGGCAAACTGGATTCCGCATGGCCAAAAGTGAGGTTCAAGTCTTGGCCCTAGTAGCTTAAAAAACACCAGGTGTATCTGTGTGCATGCCCAAATCCCAACAAGACAGAGAAATGAGGAGGGGACTGTGGCATAACCATGCCCCATTGGGGAGTGCCTTCTCCCACCCCTCCCTCTGTCTCTCTGGTGAGTCCACACCCTCCAACAGAAAAACTGTAAGATCTTTTTGAAATCTTCTAAGTTTACTATTGTTCTTACTCTTATTATTAATGACCTTTTATTGAATCACCTCTAAGCGTCCTAGGAAGTTTTATATAAGGAATTATTACCACCCAAGGATACACTACTAGTTAATGCCAGTCAGGTTAACCAACATTGTAACATTTGAGAAACTTTTTTCAGAAGTGAACAGCTCATATCCGGCAACTGAAGAAGAAGGAAAAAAAACTCTGAAGTTAAAAGAAATAAACTAGCTAAAGGGAAGCACACACAACACAGAATCTCTATTATGCTAGTCAGCAGCTAAAAGCAAGCTGGCCTCACCAGTTTTTCAATGAAATCATCAACAGCTTGACCAGCCTTCACAAGAAGTATGATCCGCCGAGGCTTCTTCAGCTTGGAGACCATCTCCTTCAAAGACTGAGCACCAATCACTTTGGTTCCTTTCGCCTCATTGGCCAAGAAATCATCCACTTTAGAGACTGTCCTATTAAAAGCACAGACCTAGAAGGACAAAGGGCCTGATGAGTAGATCTAGAACACAGAGGAGCTTCACACGGTGGGCCAAGCAAGAACATTTATATTCAGTCCGGGGTTTTAGGAGAGCAGCTGGTGCATTTTCTTTTTCTCATCCAAGTGCTGACTGATCATTGTAAAGTTAGGACATCTCAGCAAGAGAAAAAGGCAGAGGACTGAGAAGACCAACTGCCCAAGGCAAGCTGGCTAAAGATTGTCACTAACTGGTTAGAGCCAGAATCAATCCTAGGAACCACCCAGTCTGACAGTGGGCTCTGTCTTTTGTCACAAGTAATCCTGGTATTTAAATCACTTTAACATTTATGGGGGCCTGCAGATGGCATGTGACTAAGGACGCTAGACTCCCACATGACTGATTGCAGTTCAAGTCTTAGACCTGGTGGCTTGCTTTCTCTCTCTCTCTCTGTCCCTCTCTAGTCAAATTAAAATAAATACATAAAGAAAATAAATAAAGTTCAATAAAATAATTTTTTTAAAAGATTCAAAAGTACTATTTTCACTCTCTCCAGAGCTCAACAGGCAATAAAGTTGGAGCTCCGCACACCCAGCAGGGTCTCCCCTTCGCCATTCATCTCTACTGATCCAGGCTGAGCCTGTAACCAGTAGTTAAAGGAGCTGGAATCCACAGGACCAACCAGTTTGAATCCCAACAGACCAGCCCATGTGTGTGAGTGCCCCAAAACGGACAGGATGGAGACATGCAGGAGAAAGGACTGCAGTCTGACCACACCCTGTTGGGGAGTACTTTCACCCCTTCTCTCCTGCAATTGCACACACCCTCTCCTCTGGTAACAGGAGGTAGTGGGGAGATACTACAATCTGAATAAATGAACAGACACATTCAGCCGGATTCCTCTTACAGGGAGAACTCCAAGGGCCCCCTCCTGCCACACACACACAACCTCCCTCTGTCTCTCTGGTGAGTCCACACCCTCCAACAGAAAAACTGTAAGATCTTTTTGAAATCTTCTAAGTTTACTATTGTTCTTACTCTTATTATTAATGACCTTTTATTGAATCACCTCTAAGCGTCCTAGGAAGTTTTATATAAGGAATTATTACCACCCAAGGATACACTACTAGTTAATGCCAGTCAGGTTAACCAACATTGTAACATTTGAGAAACTTTTTTCAGAAGTGAACAGCTCATATCCGGCAACTGAAGAAGAAGGAAAAAAAACTCTGAAGTTAAAAGAAATAAACTAGCTAAAGGGAAGCACACACAACACAGAATCTCTATTATGCTAGTCAGCAGCTAAAAGCAAGCTGGCCTCACCAGTTTTTCAATGAAATCATCAACAGCTTGACCAGCCTTCACAAGAAGTATGATCCGCCGAGGCTTCTTCAGCTTGGAGACCATCTCCTTCAAAGACTGAGCACCAATCACTTTGGTTCCTTTCGCCTCATTGGCCAAGAAATCATCCACTTTAGAGACTGTCCTATTAAAAGCACAGACCTAGAAGGACAAAGGGCCTGATGAGTAGATCTAGAACACAGAGGAGCTTCACACGGTGGGCCAAGCAAGAACATTTATATTCAGTCCGGGGTTTTAGGAGAGCAGCTGGTGCATTTTCTTTTTCTCATCCAAGTGCTGACTGATCATTGTAAAGTTAGGACATCTCAGCAAGAGAAAAAGGCAGAGGACTGAGAAGACCAACTGCCCAAGGCAAGCTGGCTAAAGATTGTCACTAACTGGTTAGAGCCAGAATCAATCCTAGGAACCACCCAGTCTGACAGTGGGCTCTGTCTTTTGTCACAAGTAATCCTGGTATTTAAATCACTTTAACATTTATGGGGGCCTGCAGATGGCATGTGACTAAGGACGCTAGACTCCCACATGACTGATTGCAGTTCAAGTCTTAGACCTGGTGGCTTGCTTTCTCTCTCTCTCTCTGTCCCTCTCTAGTCAAATTAAAATAAATACATAAAGAAAATAAATAAAGTTCAATAAAATAATTTTTTTAAAAGATTCAAAAGTACTATTTTCACTCTCTCCAGAGCTCAACAGGCAATAAAGTTGGAGCTCCGCACACCCAGCAGGGTCTCTCCTTCGCCATTCATCTCTACTGATCCAGGCTGAGCCTGTAACCAGTAGTTAAAGGAGCTGGAATCCACAGGACCAACCAGTTTGAATCCCAACAGACCAGCCCATGTGTGTGAGTGCCCCAAAACGGACAGGATGGAGACATGCAGGAGAAAGGACTGCAGTCTGACCACACCCTGTTGGGGAGTACTTTCACCCCTTCTCTCCTGCAATTGCACACACCCTCTCCTCTGGTAACAGGAGGTAGTGGGGAGATACTACAATCTGAATAAATGAACAGACACATTCAGCCGGATTCCTCTTACAGGGAGAACTCCAAGGGCCCCCTCCTGCCACACACACACACACACACACCCCTAAAGAGGGCTGGACACTACAAAAATAAAGCAGAAACGGAACCTCTTTAAAGAGAAGCAAGTTCCAGATCACAGGGGTTGTGAAATCACCAGAACAATCACTGGCATTCGGGCTAATGCCAAGTACCACCAGGGACGACAACGTGTCTCCCCACCACTTACCACAAAGCCATGGTCATTCATGTTCAAAATTAAGTTCTGGCCCATGACAGCCAGTCCAATCAGTGCAATGTCAGCTCTAAAGGGCCAGAAAAGGAAGGAACAAAATGTGTCAGTATTCTTGATCCATTCCAACGCGGGGGACCAGAACTTTCTAGCTTCTGATGTGACTTGCTAACTCTCTTAACTTTTTTCTGCACCCCTCCCCTATGCACTTTAGAAAACAGGCATGCGGGTTCCCTGAAAGTATCAGCAAACCCTTCCTACCTCCCCAGGCCGCTTCGTGAAACCCCAAATCCGTCACGATAAACTTGGCATGCACTGGAAGCTCAACCACAACAGAAATCGTCCCTTTGCTCCAGTCCCTCTGGCTCTCATTTATAACAAGTGTCCCGTCTCTGCAGGTCGGCCCGCCTGATCCGCAGACAGGGTCGCCGCCCATCCCTCCAGGTTCGACCCGGCTTTCCTGGGGTAGGGCCGGTCTCAGGAAGGAGATCCGCCCCGAACCTGCGCTGCGCCGCCGAGTGGGCAGGGGGCGGGGTGCACGGGGAAGAGAAGGCGGCGGGGCTGGCGCGGGGCTGGCGCGGGCCTGGGAGTTCCGGGCCTGCGACCTCAGAGATGGCAGGGTCCGGGGCCGCAGGAGGCCAGGCTCTGATGACCCCAGGGGTGAGGAAACGTCAGAGAAGTCTAGGCAGATCCCAGCCCCCAGAAAGCTCCCTGCAGACCCAGGCCGAGACTGGCTGCCCGCGGGAGAGTCACTCACTGGGCCATGGCGAGGGAGGTGGACCGACCAGATGCACAGAGCAGCGAAGCGCGGACACCACTACAGCGGGCGAGTGAGGCAGAGCAGGGTTCCTGCTCACCTCCGCTGGCTGGGGCAGCCCACTGCATGGCTTTCCGGAACCAGCCAATCGGAAGGAGGGGGCGGAGCCTTGGAACCCCACCATTGGTTCTCTCTGGCGCCTGTTAGAACACCCGAGAGCAAATGGGCTCGCCCAGTCCCGGCCGGAGCAGTAGAGAGCCAAGCACATCGAGCGGGCCCCAAGCGACACGCCTGGGAAAGGTGGAATGGAGCTGGTCGCCGGCTCGGGGCTTCCCGCCCGCCCACAGGGCTCTTCTCAGCGGATTCCCTGCAAAGTAGTTTGGGGCAACTGGTCCTCGTAGCGCCTGCACCATGGGCCTGCAGGCCCTCTGCTTGGCGCAGCTGTAACGATGGTACTCACGTCGGACCATACTTTATAGTTTACCAAACACTTGGACGCTTTTGTCTGACTGCCCATCACTGCTAACGCCATCACTGCTATGCACTATGGGGTGTATGGGTCCTGTCCCTGGACTCAAACAGAGACTCGGTTTATTCTTCCTGCCAGGTGGGCCCATGGAAGTGGAGCCAGGAAATGTAGCTCTTCACAAGAACCCTCTGTGGGGAACCAGCAGTTATCGTAATGGCTCTGTCGCTGGACTCCCATGTGGTCAACCACAGTTCAAGTCCTGGACCCAGTGACTTAAAACTCACGCCGGGCTCGTGTGCGTACGTGCCCAAGATTCTGAGAGGAGAATGGAGGAGAAGGGACTGCAGCATGGCCATCCCTCCCGGGTGTGATTTCTCGCTTTCTGTCTCTCTGTCTCTGTCTCTATCTCTCTCTCTCTCTCTCTCTCTGTCTTTCTGCCGAGTGCACACATGCCGTATAGCAAAAAAACCTCTCCAAAAAAACAAAAGAGAAGTGCTCTTTTTTGGAACCAGCAGATAGCTTAATGGCTATGTCGCTGGACTCTCATGTAGTCGACCAAGGTACGAGACCCATAAACAGTTGCTTAAACTCACACTGGGCGCGTGTGCGTGCCTGCCCAAGATCCTGAGAGGAGAATGGAGGAGAAGGGATTGCAGCGTGGCCATCCCCCCTGGGGAGTGATTTCTTGCTTTCTGTCTCTGTCTGTCTGGCCAGTGCAGGCGCCCTGTGGCAAAAACCTTTCCAAAAAAAAGAACCCTCTGTGGGAAACGTTAAACCCTCCTTTCTGTAGGTAAAGAAACTGAGGCGCAGAGAGAGAAGGCAGTTAAATGTATTTGTTGGAGTGTGATCCAGATCCAGAGGTCACGATATTGAATCCCTTCCTGTTTTGCAGAGGCTGAATAATGTGTAATGTGGACCAGATTAAATGTACAGGCAGATGTGAGAATCCCACTTTTGTTGTTGTTGTTATTAAGAATTATTTAACTTTGCTTATTTACTTTAATTTGACCAAGGAGGGACAGAGTGAGAGAGAGAGGGAAAATGAGAAAGAAAGCCTCCAGGTCAAGTGCTACCCAACACCCGAGAATCTAGTAGCTGTTTTAAGCCAGACATAAAGAAATGTACAAAACTGTCAAACACTACTACTAATCTTACTTTCCTTTGTTCTTGGATAATTATTTAAAAGTTTATTTTATTTATATTTTTTAATTTGCTGGAGAGCATGTGCATTTACTGCAAGGAGAAGCAGAGGGAAGGCAAGAAAGCATTCCTCATGGAGCATGATCCTGCTGCAATCCCTTTTCCTTCATTTTTCTCTCTGTTTGGGATTTTGAGCATGCACGCAAATATGCCCAGCAGGTTTCTCAAGCCACTGGTCTGGGACTTGAACTGTGCAGTCAGCCATATGGGATCCAGTCACCCTAACCACCATGCCACCAGCTGGCCTGCTCTCAGGTTCAGTGTTTAAAATTAAAACTCTTCGGGGCACACTTGCAGCCCCAGCTACTTTGTAGGTTGAGGCAGGAGGATGGTGAATTGGAGGCTTTGTCTCTATGGGGGAGAAAGGTAAATACCGATCATTCATGTAAACAAAAGCTCTTTGGGGCTTCAGTCATTTTCAAGAGCATGAAGGGATCCTGAGACCACAAGTTTGAGAATCAATGATGTAGCCCAACTCATATTGTAGAGATGAGGTAACTGGGGCGCAGAGTGACAACCAGACTTGTTCAGGTCACATATTGACAGGGCTAACACTGGAACTGCCCCTCTGGGGACACATTAGATGTTCTCTAAGGTCCCTCTCAATAAAATCCAGATGTCGGAGACAGCCTTGGTGGTAGGGCAGCACATTATTGATTATTGTAGAAGTCAGATCAGATTGTTTCTCCAATTATTTTAACTTTCTTAAAAAAGAATAATTATTATTTTTTAATTTGACCAGAGAGAGACAGATAGAGAAAGGGAAAGTGAGAAAGCAACCCACCAGCCTCAGTCACCCATGTGGAAGTCCCGCACCTTCACCATCACACCACCCACCGGCCCTTCTTTTTTTTTTTTTTTTTGGAGAGGTTTTCGCTATAGGGCGCATGCGCTCGCCAGCCAGACAGAGAGAGACAGAGAGACAGAAAGCGAGAAATCCCCCCCCAGGGGGGATGGCCACACCGCAATCCCTTCTCCATTCTCCTCTCGGGATCTTGGGCACGCATGCACACATGCCCGGCGTGAGTTTAAGCCACCGGGTCCAGGACGCAAACCACGGTCGACTACGTGGGAGTCCAGCAACATAGCCATTACACTAACTGCTGGTTCCCAAGGCTTCTTGATAAAGAGTATGTCTGACGGTGTCACATTGACTTCAGCCCCTTCTGATTCATTGCTTTCTAGCTGTGCAATTTAAAGTAAGTTGCTGAGTCTCAGAGTTTCCCCTTCTATAAAACAGGAACCGCAGTGTCGTGAGTTATACTAGGGTTAAATGAAGCAAATGGCATTTGTTTCCGTGTCTGGCATTTGGTACCCAGATGCTAGTTTTCACCTCTCTGTGGAAAGGACTCAAAAGAAGAGAAATAAATTATAATGAAAAAAATAGGCTAAATCAAAGAATTTCTCCTAAGTTTCCTTATAAAACCCCTATGGGGGAGCAGCAGATGGCGTAATGGCTACCTCGCTGGACTCCCATGTAGTAGACTGCGATTCGAGTCCTGGACCCAGTGGCTTAAACGCATGCCAGGCATGTGTGCACGTGTGCCTAGGATCCCAAGAGGAGAATGGAGAAGGGACTGAGGCGTGGCCATCTCCCCTGGGAGGGGGGGTGACTTCTCACTATCTGTCTCTCTGTCTCTCTCTTTCTGGCGAACACATGTGCCCCATAGGAAAAACCTCTCAAGCACACACACACACACACAACAACCAAAAAACCCGTGTCGTTTCCATAGTTCAAGCTCAGCTGGTGATTCTCTGATCTTTTACCTGAATTGTTTGCTATAGAAATAAATTCCCATTTAGGAGTCGGCAGGTGGCATTGTGGGTGAGGGCACTGGATTTCCACATGGCCAACCATGGTTGGAGTCCCGGATCTGGTGGCTTGCTTTCTCACTTTCCCCATCTCTCTCTCTCCCTCTCTCTCCTTCTCTCTGTCTCTCTCTCTCTCTCTCTTGTCTGTCCCTCTCTGGTCAAATTAAAATAAATAAGTAAATAAAGTTAAATAAAATAATTCCTAAAAATATTCCCATTTAACAATGACATACCCGTGCATATGGTAATATCCGTCTTCCTGATCAAACACAGGTGCCTTACCTTCTCCCCCCTAGTTATTACCTCTGATCTCCATTCCTTTGGAAATAGGGTGTGCCAGCATGTCTTTTTGTTTCTTTTTTTTTTTTTAACACTTACTTATCTATCATATTCATTTTGCTGTGATTTTCAGGCGACTGGTCTAGGATTCAAACCGTGGTCCACCATGCAGGAATCCAGCACCTTAACCACACCACCTGCTGTCCCTGGCACATCTCAGTACATATACTTTTTGTTTTTCTAGAGCATGCAGGAAACATAAGCCTCAGTCTCAGCTTAGGGCCACGGGGGTGAAGGGCAGAAGGGTGCGACACCTTCCTTGCTCATCATAAGTGTCATGACTGACATTTACGTCATGGAAAAGCCTAGCAAATTTACATCAAAGTTTGATGTGACATAGGAGCCTTCAAAAACGAAGACCCAAGGACCCCTGGAAAACGGTTGTTATGCTAGGTTCGCTGAAAGATGGACAGCATGTAGAAACGTGCTGAACAGAAAGGCAGGGTCTAATAGTAACAGGTTAGGTCTGTATGTGCTGGGAGGCGGCTGGGGGAGTGCAGCAAGGCCTGGCTGTTCAGATTCCTCGGGGCCTCTCTGTAGCATTCCTCCCCGGAATGTGGCAGGATCATTCTGGAACAAGGGTCTTAGGACCTACACCAGACAACGTAGGTCCGAGAACTTCTTCATGTGCAGCTATGTATAGCAATCCCTTTCATACTCAGAATTGTTCTGGTTTGGATGAGAAATTATATTGGTACTCTACTTTAAAAATGATATGTTGGGGCCAGCCGGTGGTATGGTGGTTAAGGGGCCAGACTCCCACATGACTAATGGTCAACCACCACAGTTCAAGTCCTAGAATCTGGCAGCTCGAGTCCCAGACCTGGTAGCTTGTGTTCTCACTTTCTCTCTCCCTCCCTCTCTCTCTCTCTCTCTCTCTCTCTCTCTCTTTCTCTCTCTGGTGAGTGCACGTGACCATAGCAAATTAAAATAATAAATTATTTTTTAAAAATGATATGTCTTGGAGCTGGCAGGTGGCATAGTGGTTAAAGTGCTAGACTCCCAAATGGTCAACCACAGTTCAAGTCCTAGGCCTGGCAGCTTGCTTTCTCATTTTCCTCTCACTCTTTTTCTGGTCAAATTTTAAAGTAATAGTAATAATAATAATAAAATAAAATAATTTTTTAAAATGGTATGTCTTATCTTCAGGATACAGTCCTCCTTTATTTTTTTAGAAAGGTTTTTGCTATAGGGTATGTGCTCTCACCAGAGACACACAAAAAGACAGAAAGCAAGAAATCACCCCCCTGGGGGATGGCCACACTGCAGTCCCTTCTTCTCCAGTCTCCTCTCAGGATTTTGGGCACGCATGCACACACACCCAGTGTGTTTT